GCAGTCTCGGCCATCAATCTTAAGTTGCCACCGTTCTGGCCTTCTGACCCGCATCTGTGGTTCGCGCAAGTGGAGGCCCAATTTAGCACACGAGGTATCACTGCTCAAAAGATTAAATACGAGTACGTCGTCGCCTCTCTCTCACCTGAGTTCGCCACGCAAGTCCGGGATCTGATTCTCCGTGTCCCCGCCGCTTCGCCGTATGACACGTTGAAACGACAACTAAGCGTATGCTCCGACAGCTGTTCCAGTCCACAGAGTTGGGCGACCAAAGACCCTCCCAGCTACTTCGCCGCATGTAACAGTTGTTGGGAGAAGACGCAGCCGGTTCAGATGCCACACTTCTGCGAGAAATGTTCCTCCAGCGACTTCCTGGTAATGTCCGTATGGTCCTGGCATCATCAGGAGAAGGAAAGTCCCTTGAGGAACTTGCCCAGCTGGCTGATCGAATTGTCACTGCTGCACCACTCTCTGTGGCCGGTGTCACCAGCCGACAACCAGCAGGGGAGGTAGACGAACTCCGTACCGAAATAACCAAACTTAGAGAAACGATTGCCACCATCGCTACGTCGTCACCGCCCACGCGTCACCGATCTCCCTCACCTCGCCGCCCATCAAGACGGCATTCCCCACCGCCTCACACAGCGCCCACGGGAATGTGTTGGTACCACTCCCGCTTTGGCGCTAGAGCTCGCAAGTGCACACCACCCTGTTCATACTCCGGAAACGACAGGGCCAGTACGTAGAAGCGGCAGACGTCACTGGCCTAACTCCAAGCCGCCTACTCTTTGTAACTGATACCTGTTCCTCTACTCGCTTTCTTGTCGATACAGGAGCCCAAGTCAGTGTTATCCCACCCTCTCTCCGGGAAAAACAGTCACCGAGCACCCTCACTCTAGAGGCGGTTAATAAAACCACCATCTCTACCTACGGCACACGTTCGCTGACTCTAAACCTGGGCCTACGTCGCACCTTTAGATGGGTATTTGTGGTGGCGGACGTTGCCAATGCCATTCTAGGAGCTGACTTCTTACAGCACTATGGCTTGGTGGTGGACATGAAACGTCGCTGCCTTACTGACACTACTACCAGTCTGAAAGTGAATGGGTTTATAGCTGCTGCAGCGTCTCCTAGTCCATCACTGCTGCCACGGAACCCAGCTACCCCATTCGAGGCCATCGTCTCAGAGTTCCCTTCAGTCACTCAGCCATGTGTGGCCACTGCCCCTGTCAAACATAGCGTCACACACCACATTACCACCACAGGCCCTCCAGTTTACGGTCAAACACGTCGTCTATCACCGGAACGATTCAAAATTGCTCGAGAGGAGTTCACTCATATGCTGGAGTTAGGCATCATCCGGCCATCAGCTAGCTGTTGGTCATCGCCACTCCACATGGTGCCAAAGAAGACTCCAGATGACTGGCGTCCTTGTGGGGACTATCGGGCCCTCAATAATTGCACCGTGCCCGACAGGTACCCTGTACCCCACATTCAAGACTTTTCGATATCTCTTCATGGCACCCGAATCTTCTCTAAGATCGACCTGGTGCGAGCTTATCATCAGATTCCTATGGAACCAGACGACATTCCTAAGACAGCCGTCACAACCCCTTTCGGCCTCTTTGAGTTCGTTCGGATACCCTTCGGACTCCGCAACGCTGCCCAGACATTTCAGCGATTTATAGATCAAGTCTTACGTGGCCTACCCTTTTGCTATGCGTACATCGACGACTTGCTCGTCGCCAGTGCATCACCGGAAGAGCACAAAGAGCACCTGCGACTGGTATTGCAACGCCTCAGTGACCACGGTATCGTTATAAACCCCTCCAAATGCAAGTTCGGAGTGGCGGAGCTGGATTTCTTGGGGCACAGAGTCAGCGCAGACGGTATCAAGCCCTTGCAGGAGAGAGTTAAGGCCATTCAGGAGTTTCCCATCCCAACCTCTATTCGCAAACTTCGTGAGTTCCTGGGCCTGGTAAACTTTTACCACCGTTTTATTCCTAACTGTGCCTCTATCCTAGAGCCACTGAATGGTCTCATGACACACCACAAGGGTAGCGACCGTAAACTCAACTGGGATCAGGCAACAACAGCAGCCTTCACAGCCGTCAAGGACGTCCTCGCTACCTCCACACTGTTGTCACACACCTAAGCCGTTCGCACCAACATGCATCATGGCTGATGCATCGACAGAGCAGTTGGAGCCGTTTTACAGCAACAGATCGGCGGCGAATGGCATCCACTGTCTTATTTCTCCAAAAAGCTCCGCCCAGCGGAGACTTGCTACAGCACGTTTGACCGGGAGCTCTCGCAGTGGACTTGTCAATAAGCATTTTCGGCATCTGGTGGAAGGCCGTGATTTTCACGTCGTCACAGATCACAAACCTCTGACATTCGCTCTCGCAACCTCGTCCGACAAGTACACTCCTCGCCAGATCCGACATCTGGACTACATCTCGCAATTTACAACCGATATGCGGCACGTAGCAGGACTCAACAACCCGGTGGCTGATGCACTCTCACGCAATGCCGTGAATGCCATTCACAGTGTACAAGCAACACCAGTAGACCTTCAAATTTTAGCACAGGCCCAGACCGGGGACTCGGAACTCCAAGCACTCCTGAAGTCCTTGTCAACGTCCCTTCGTTTGACGGCTCTTCCTCTTCCGGCTTCAACCTCCATGATCGTCTGTGATACGAGTACTGCATCTCCTCATCCGTTTGTACCTGCACCACTCCGCCGCACCGTCTTCACAGCCCTACACTCCCTTTCACATCCAGGACTGCAGGCGACACAACAACTCATTGCAGAGCATTTTGTTTGGCCAGGTATGAAGAAGGATATCAAGATCTGGACGCGAACTTGCCTCCCATTCCAGCGGTCCAAAGTACAACGTCACACTATCACCCCACTCTCCGCATTCAAGACCCCAGACACGCGGTTTGATCAGATCCACATTGACATCGTCGGACCCCTGCCGCCATCAGAGGGACAAACCTACCTGTTAACCTGCATCGATCGTTTCACGTGGTGGCCGGAGGTCTTCCCCATGGCGGATATGACGGCCGAAACAGTGGCTCGTGCTTTGACCGCTGGTTGGATCGCACGTTTCGGCGTACCATCCACCATTACGACAGATCGGGGACGACAATTCGAATCTCGACTTTGGGCACAACTTCTCCAGCTCCTTGGCTGCAAACATCTCCGCACTACTGCCTATCACCCGATAGCCAACGGAATCATTGAACGTTTTCACAGGCAGCTTAAGGCAGCACTCCGAGCCCACACGCCTTCACTGAGCGGCTGCCAATTGTCCTTCTCGGCATTCGTACGGCCCTTAAGACTGATCTGCAGTGCAGCGCGGCTGAACTCGTTTATGGCACGAGTTTGAGGCTACCGGGAGAGTTCTTTCATCACGACTCTGCTGATACTATCACAGAACCAACCACTTTACTCACCAAACTCAAGACCGCAATGCGTGAACTCAGAGCCGTACCAGTACGTGAACAGTCTCAGCGCAACACGTATGTCAACAAGGAGCTCGCGAGCTGCACACATGTGTTTGTGCGCAATGACACCGTACGTAAACCTCTGTACGATGGGCCATTCCGGGTACTTGACAGAGCAGACAAGTGTTTTACTCTGCATCTCAACGGGAGGAACGACAAAGTTTCTCTAGATCGCCTCAAGCCGGCATACTTAGAATCAAGCCCAATGACACAACCTCCACTACCACCCTCCCCTCCTCCACCACCTCCTGCTGCCACGTCTGTTCCTGCTAGGACCACTCGCTCCGGTCGGCATGTTCACTTTCCGGACAGACTAATGGGACTAGTTGACTCGTTCGCCAACTCACTGGAGGGGGAGTGATGTAGTGTGCACGCGTAGTGCGCATGATCAGTGAACCCTGAACCTATAGAGAGACACGTGCTAACTCAGTAACTAGGTTGCTGGTGTATTGTGTATCTTGATCTATCGTTGGTACAATACTATACTCTCTTCTGACATGTACTGGTAACTAAGCTGACTCCACCGTTTCTCTTCCTTGGATGTGCGTAAGTGCTTCCTTCGGCTCTTGAACAGCTGTGTAGGCAAAGCTACATACAGTCAAGTATGCATGGTGTTACTCTCTCTTTCTTTGTTCTTTCTTTCTAGCTTCAACTTGAACATTGAGTGCTAATTCTTTTCTTGCTGGTTGGCTGTCATTAAATAGCCATCGTCGGCTTTCATAATACCGGTGAACAGAACCTGTGTAAACATCAAGCAGGACACGTAAATCTACATTACTTACGACTTATCCGTTTGGGTGAAAACTTGTCAGCATACTGCTCCGACAACGTTGACACGAGGTACTCCTTCTCACGGCGATTACCCTGAGTGTTATACCTGTACACAAGTTAGATATGAACCTATAAAACACAGCAGCTGGAAGGCTTACAGTTCTGCTCCAATGAACTGTAGGGTTGACTCGGCACTCTCATGAAGTAACTTTACGACAGCCTGATAAAGTAGTGGATCTTTATAAGATCAGCTAAGTACTGGCTGACAACTTGCAGACAACTCAGCTGGAATTTTCTTTGTGACATTTACAGGTGTGCTTGAGTTACTTGAGCTAACAGACTCCGTCAAAAAATTGCTGTTCTGTCGGATTTCGTTCATCTCCGACCGTAGCGCGGAGAGTTCCTCCCTGATCGTAGCCGTCTCGTTCACTTGTTCACGGACAAGAGACACGACTTGATCCAACTTCTGAGCAAAACTTATGTCAGAAAATCGGCTTTCCCAAAACGGAGCACCAGCTGCACGAGTCGGAGGGGCACCCCCTGACCGTAAAACGAACCACCATCCATCTTTGCAGCAGTTCACGAGGCTGATTCAAAAGGATATCTTCCCCTCCAGCTTCCAGAGCAAAAAAGATGGCGACACGTACTTGCTCGTACGACATCTGGCGTGATGACATTCTGCGCACGCGCAAAATAACCTTTGACCCCCAAAAACTGATTAATCATTCTCTATGCTATAGAGTGCCTCCATTTCACGTGCAATTTTTCCTGCAGCATTGGCAGTACCCATAGCAGAATGTACCATTCTACCACTTCTGGATTTAGCAAAGGCAATCGTTTCATAGTACTTGCGTAACCTCTCTTTTTCTTCATTACTCTTTGATTTCACTTGTGCGATTTCCCTTTCCAACTCATGAACCCTGCTTCGATACTGTTGAACTTTGGTCATAAGTTTCTCTCGGCACTTGAACAGATACGTAGGTGGGTAGGGTTCACCGTCAATCTGTCTATAGTCATCATAGACAACCACCTCCACAACATCTGTGTCAACATCACCCATACGCTTATCAACGTGATCAACTTCAGGGCTTTCTTCTGACTCATTAGGCTCTCCAAAAGGTGCACTACTGGAAGCAGTCTCTTGTGTTGCAAGGTTACTAGCAAACACTAACTTTCGTCAAACTTTCTGCCTTTGGCGTTTAGCCTTCTTTTGTGTGGGGCTAGGCCGACCCATTCACTGCAAAACAAAGAATATTATATATTCGTATGAGAATATCCCAAGAAGGGAACACACACCTGCATAATAATATGTATGTGTGGCCATGCATAAATTCAGCCTAAGCCTGCACGGCCACAACATATCAGACAGACAGCCGTACGGCCACAAAGCCCAACATATATCAGACTGACAGCCGTACGGCCACAAAGCCCAACATATCAGACTGACAGCCCTACGGCCACAAAGCCCAACATATCAGACTGACAGCCGTACGGCCACAAAGCCCAACATATGAGACTGACAGCCGTACGGCCACAAAGCCCAACATATCAGACTGACAGCCGTACGGCCACAAAGCCCAACATATCAGACTGACAGCCGTACGGCCACAAAGCCCAACATATCAGACTGACAGCCGTACGGCCACAAAGCCCAACACTGAAAGCCCCACGGCCATAAACTTCGGTCATAACGATTTCATGACGCTATTACTCCATAGGAACCCGATATAATACAAACTTACACTTGAGTGTGGCTTGTAAACAGTAGGGAAAGGAGAAAGCCCAGCTAACTGATGGCGCGTGTACGTATCCCGCCAGAATTCCAAATCGCCGCCCCGTGATGACTGCGCATGCGCAGAGTTAGGGCAGTCAAAATGAAAGTCTCATTGGTACTGGGGCAGAAACGAACACAATTTCATCAAAGCCAGATAAACTAACTTCAGTTGAGCAATATGCACCAACAGCAAATATCTGCTGTACAGGAATAAAGGAAAAAATAGAAGTAGCTGCAAAGTTGTTTGTGCAGACTGTAGCTGATGCACCATACCAATTGTCATGGGCGTGTCTCTCATACCAACTGACAAAGGCAAAGAGGTGAGGTAGATGAGTAGTTTCACCATCAGCAGTACAGATGGTAAGCTGGTGCTTGCAGTTATACTGTACACATCCGACACGCATCTTACCATAGTCAATACTAGACACATTTCCATGACGAAGTGGCCAAAAAGCCATAATTGTAGATGATGACTGACAGCTAGTGGCATTCATTACAGAACCCAGAATATCACCACATAACATAGCACGCCCAGCATGAAAGAAAAAGGAGATACAGAAACAATGTTGAGATTAGGATAAAGCAGTAGATCCAATTTGTTTACGTTATCTGCATTCAATACACGACGGCGTGAGGGTGAAAGAATTGAAACAGTGTGATTTGCTACAAATGAAATACCAGGCAAATGAGCAGTGGAAAGATTTAATAACCTCAAACAATCGGTATCAGCATAGTGCAGAGAAGGCAGGGTAGATATCTTCTTGTCGGATGCTTTTAAAACAGCTAAAAACTCTGGGTGTGCACTTGCTTTTGCACTAAGCAACATTTGGCTGCCAATAAACTTCCGCATTATTTGAATTTCTATATTTTTTTGATTGGTATGATATGAACCTAACAACCCATTGTAACGCTCAAATGAGAAGCACCAGAAAGAATGTGCAGGTCCATGATCCAAAATGCATTTCTTCAGATGAAAATGCAGGTGCATGTTCGGAGTACAATGCTCCCTACCATACAATTGCTCAAACTTTCGGCAAAATGCTCCAAGAAGTATATTCGCACTTGAAACTTCAGCCTCAGTCACTATACGCTTTCCCAGGATACAACAGGCTCGAACAAACAAGAGCCAACATCGAAGATGTTCATCTGGTAAAATATTTTTAAAACTACAGGTGAATATAATGGTGATCCAAGAGCGCCACTGAGCAGCTTTAAAGCCTCCGTAGTTGGACGAAATATTAGTTAACTGGCAGCCTACCTTCAAGTTGGGATATTGTAGTAGCCTCACTCTGGCTCTCTGGGATAGCTGAGTCTTGCTGTCGATCACTATATCCGGCGTTGAAAAGGGTTTCCCCTGACCGACTGCCCGTAACGCCGGCATGCTGGTGGGAACTACTACCGGCATTGTCTCTTCTCTGCCACTCATTGGATACGGGGTTGAAAAAAGAATCCCGATGACGGTAGAAGGTCGACTTTGGGAGGTAGTCATTACAATGGCCACAAAAATGCTTCTGTCTACAACGCCGAGACTCACTGCCACTGGCCATGGTATACGCGTGTATACGGTATTCAACCGGAGTCTGAACCTCGGACCCGTCGCAGCATGTATACGGAAACCGTGGTATACGCTCGCCTAAACGGAGTATGCGTACGGACCCAGGCTTCACGGTGCTCCGTATATTTCCCGTGCAACTGCATCCAACGGACATCCGTGAATCCCCGTATTACGCGGGTAAGGTTGCTGTGTACATCCTTGTTGAAGACAATATATTATACATGAGGTGAATGCGGTATCTAGCCCCTGCTTTAGGCACTAGCAGCCCCATTAGCTCTTTCATTTTGTCTATGGTAGCCTTTCTACAACATACCCATGAACATCAGAGTGACTGTAACAAAAATGCAGTGTTGTCATAAGCTGTTAAAAATAGTGGAAACAAGTGGAAAAATCATTTCTTCAAAATGAAAGGGGGGGTATAGGGATGGCTTGAAGCACCAAAAAGGAAGAAACAAGGGGTCATTATATACACAGCAAAGTTGCACAAAACTACATGACATCATCTCTATTAGCAAAGTTTAATATCGAACAAAGATATAGGGATGGTGTCTTGTAGCTTTGTGCAACTTTGCTGTGTAATGACCCCTTGTTTCTTCCTTTTTGGTGCTTCAAGCCATCCCTATATCCCCCTTTCATTTTGAAGAAATGATTTTTCCACTTGTAAGTAAAACAATTGTGCTTTGAGCGTTGAGTTTTCAGCACTTCATACTTTTCCTGAGGTTGTACAACTTCATGTATAATAAACACACACTGATTTGCTAGCTAGTTGCAAAACAGACGCGACGACAGTATTTTAACTTGTGTTCACATGAGTAGAGGACTTTCTTTGTTTCAAAATTCATCCTCGTTCCCATCCTCGGGTTCTTCTTGTTCCTGTAGGACAGGAAGGGCAGTAGGTGGAGAAGAGGGAGTAGGGTGAGAGGAAGGGGAAGTGTCATTCCAGCGGAACTCAAGTAGACTCGGAGCCTGACTTAATTCCAAGTAGCCTGAAGTCTTCTCCAAAATACTTGTAAACTGGCCGACCAAATGTTGGAATGTTGGACGCTCCCTGGGCTTCAGGGACCAGCAACTCTTCATTATTTCATATCTAGAGATAGGTATTGAGAGCATAAAGCATAGCAGAGTAACCTTTGCAGGAATAATAGTGAATCTGCTAGACTTGCTTGATTACACTTTTACCTTACTATAGGGGCAAAACATTGGGCATAACCCCTGCTTCTTTGTCAATGCTTGCTAAAATGGAAGGATGGGTATGACTCTACATAGAGAGTGAAGTAATGTGAGTAGCTATCAAAAGGTCTGGTGAGGGGCTACTTACACTTCGTCAAGACAGGCCTCGTTCTCAGGTTTCTCCAGTCTCTTTCCTGCTTTTATTGCCTCCAGTAGATACATGACTGGAATACCACGATATGGGATCCTTCCACAAGTGAAGACTTCCCAAACTGTCACTCCAAATGACCACTGGAGGAAAATTCACACTGAGTTACCATCCCAACTTGACACAATTAATGCTGTGGCAACTCTTTTATAATGCCCCAGTCAACTGTCTGAGGTATTTTATACATCAGGGTGAACTTAGTTCTATAGTTTTAGGCTAACCACGTCAGTGGCCTCGGTGTAGATGTCTTCTTCCAGGCTCTCAGGAGCCATCCACTTGATGGGCACCTTCTCCTCGTCCTCACCCTCTCTGTTCCCCCGACGGAAGTAGTTGGCTCCAAACATGTCTTCTGTTAGTCCAAAATCAGCTACTTTGATGACCCAATTATGGTCAATCCTGTGGCATATTATAACAATAGTTTCTAGAGCCTTTATGTTAAGCTCATACATGCAGTTCCTTGCTGCCAGGTCACGATGAACAAAACGCTGCAGTGCAAGATACTCCATACCCATTGCAGTTTGGTGACAGATTTTCAATAGCCTCTTTCTGGCGATCTGCAACTGTACCATTTTGATATATAAAATTCCAAAGCTAAACCCTATAAGGAATTGTAAACATAACGACCTTTGATTCCACTGAGGTAAAGAGGAGCTCATCTTTATGTTGTTTAATAAAGTCCAGGACAGATCCATTAGTCATAAAGGGCATAATTAGTAGGGGACCATTTGTAGCTACACACACTCCCAGTAGAGACATGACGTTAGTGTGCTCTAGTGACAACATGGTCGACACCTCCTTTGCCAGTTGTTCTACGTCAGTCTTGGAGAAAAGCGCTGAGAAACAAAGAGCATTTTCAATATGTATACATTGTGTCAAACTTAGTTCACCCTTGACAGTTTTGACAGCGACTAGCTCCTTTTCCTGCTGCAGTTTTAAGATAGGCGCTATAGACCAGCCCCGACTGACCTATGCATAATGCGTATTATAAAATTTACTAGCAATAGGATGCATGAACACATACAAACCTTGACCAATGGTGGTAGAAAGCTCGATTTGATTCTCGGAAAATAACATTCTCTTATTTTTCAGCATATCTTTTAGTTGTGCGGAAAGGAAAGACTTCTCGGTTTCTGTTTTGTCTGCAGCACCATACTGCTCCGCAGAGACACCTTCTGACTCTGAATTGCAATACAGTTAATATGATATATACACATTTTGGCACATTATTAGGATAAGGATAATCAAATAATAAGAAGCGAAAGCGAAAGCATGCCGGGTAAGACCTATAATCTATGACTACTCCTAAATTACATATTGCAAATGCATAATATTGTTGATTGATCACTATTAGGCCTTCCTTTAGGTACACATTACTAAACTTTACTTTGTTGATTGCTTGGCCTTCTGCCTTCAGAACACAATAGTTCCCAAAAGACTTATAATAGCCAGGTAAGCAAACCTCGATATGGGGTATTTTGCATCTCAAGTCGACCGTTAGAAAATATGTTTTGAAGACTCTCTATAGTTGTGCAGAGAGGATTATGTGTAAAGTTGACAAGGACTAATAGCAGTGGAAACCTTACCGAGAGCACCACGCTGATTGCTGCGTGGGAGAAACCTGCACAGTTTGATAAAAACATCCATACACAGAGATGATGATGAGATAACTCACTGATCAAGACTAATCTTTTTGCCCTTTCTGTACCAAAGCACGATCAACACTATAACAGCCATGATGATAATCGCTACCACCAGTGAAGAAATGGTTGTTGCTAAGAGAATGCTGTCATTTGATACAGAGAGAGTGGAGACCGTGGGTTCATTGGTACACATGCACCTCTCGGGCAGTGCAATTACTACTGAAGCAGTTGATCCGTTGATATACACATGAGCAGTGTCATCTACTTTTGTCATTGTTGACTCGAGTAGTATTGCACTGCAGTTAAAACGCTCACATACGTTATCCACATCAAAGTCAAAAGTGGTCTCGTAGCACTTTTTATAGGAGTTACTAACAAAATGAAGGATATTTGAAGTAGGTTGGAAGAGATCCACTGCATCTGTGATTTAATAGTGTAAGTATAACAACAAAAACATGTGAAATCTTACTTGGCGTGGTGTAAGTTGCGATATTGATGGTGAAATTTGGATCGATTTCTGGGGACAAACTAATGACACATATCTCCTCAGTACTTGTCAGTTCCGATATGGTATAGCTTGTGTGCTCATAACCAACTCTCGCATCTAGAAAATGAGGTTCATGAACTGCTGTATGTGATGTTTGCACATTCAGTTGACATAATACTATTATTGTGTAAGAGGAGACCTAGCTGTGTTCGCTTCGCTTGCCAATAAAAAAAATGTGTCTGATGTTTATATCAGGGAATAAGAGGGATGCTGGAACTAATACATATCCTCATTTCTACATCTTTGTTGAGATATACTCACTAGACACGACTTATCTTTTTTCCCTTTCGGTACTACAGCATAATAATATGAACACTGCAACAGCCACAATTACAATCACTACCACTAGTATCGAGCAAGCCAACTCAATAACACCATACTGAAACTCTACATGTATACATGCATGAACCTTTTTTCATGGGTGTTAAAATACAAAATGCTGCTATAATTATTTAGCATGCACTCTGGGCATAACAAGTAGCTCTTTTATAGAACACTCACAACATTCTGGCTCTCTGCTATCATCAACAATTATTGTTGTACTGGATCGGGATGAAGAGACACCCAATGTATCAGTAGATGCTACAGTTAAGATCAGTTCCAAAGATGTGGTGTTTTCTTCCATGTTACAAACATTATCTTGGACGATGCTGCAGTCATGACACTTCACAGAGTCTCCCCGTTCAAATTCAAACTTTGTGTTACATTCCACCTGTTGCAGTTGTGGATTGTCAGAAATACCTGAGAAACACAAGTGAACAATTATATAAGCACTGTAATGGTACACCTAACTTTGCGCTGGAAGTAAAATTGCGTCAAAAGGTTTGGTAGCACCACCAGAAGGAGGGTTCAAAATCTCGATACATACAGCAACATTTCCACTCGTCTCAGTTCCGGTGTATGTTGCGGATGAAAACCCAACAACTGTACCTGAAGGAGTACAGCATTGCAGAGATATCAAACAGGGAGAGAATATTGTTTTAAGTCTTGTATATATTCTTTGTATGCCCAGGAGGCTGGTACACATTCCAGTTTGCATTTAGTGGCACAAGTACACTTTTTAGCATGTGTAATGAGATTTTAACTCTTTGGGCGCCATATGTGTCTCCTTAAATAAGCAGAAATTGATGTATAACATATTAGCGCCTAGTTATATAAATTCTTATGCACTTATGGAGGCTCTGTGCATATATATATATATATTATAATATATATGTAAATGGCGCCCAAAGGGTTTATTAACAAGGCAAGTCGGCCAAGGATCTAATGAACCATGAAGGAAGCATCGCAGGGCAGTTTAGTTAGAGGAGATATCAAACAGGGAAAGAAAAGGTCTTGTATATATCCTTTGTACGCCCAGGAGGCTTGTACACATTCCAGTTTGCATTTAGTGGCACAAGTACACTTTTGTTGGTAACGATATTTTAACACAAGGCAAGTGCAGACTACACCAAAAAAGGCTGCACTCGGTTGGACTTGAATCCACGACAGTCAGCAAGGCAAGTACATATTCATCCAGGCCAACAAAGTTTGAAGAAGTGCTTCCCTAAGTGGGACTCAAACCCACGCCACTCTTTTCTCTAGGCAGAGGGCTGAGCTAGCTACCACATAATTATATCCATGTTGAGGCAGGTGACTTATTAGCATGCAAAAGTCATGTTCATATTAAGTGCAGTAGAATGTGCGCATCCCCTTCAATCCTACATTCCTCTGCACAAACAAACCACAGTCATGTTATTCAACAGTGTGAAAACAGGAGAGGGTCTTATCTTGATTTTCACCCCATCTAACAGATCAATAACAATATTATCATGCACTTCTTCAATCCTGCCTCTACACAAGTAGAACACATGCAATATAATTATGTACCGTGAACTACGAGTGTGAAAAACTGAAGAGGCGCCTTTTCTTGATTTTCATCCCATCCGTAACAGATCACTTTCTGTGAAATTTCGACTGGAGCGTTGTATTTGACGTTGTCTGAGAAGGACCTGCTTAACTCCAATCCGTCTTCTGTCTCCCATGTTAGAGCTGTGACTGGTGGGGAAGGCTCCCAACACACTAAATCCCAATAGCCTCCAAGTGTTTGGACAACTGCATCATATTCATCTGGGAAGTAGGAAAACGAGTACTAGAATGTTACGAATCATATTGGGGTTGCATAGGAAAAGAAGCAGTACATTTGTGCTCCACCTCACTCGTGTCTGCCATGGGTTACAACTGTTGTTAATGTTAACCCTCGATGCGCAGTGTTGGTTACACGGTTGTCTGTCACCGCTATTCAACACAAAAAAATCAACCCATTAGTAAGTGTACTTAAGGCAACCAATAAGTGATACTAACTAACTGGACTGGATACTCAACCTCCAAGTAATGTGCTTCTATCATGCCTAGTCGAGGTAAGCCATTGCTTGTACATATTGTGTAGTGTGTTGTGCACAGATCTTACACCGAGGGTTTGCATTCTACTTTTCATATTGCTTTTTGTAATAGGGTGCCCAGCAGCATAATAAGGGGATGACATATTTGATTATCATGGCATACACAAATCAATCCCAAGCCTGTTGCATATGAAATGGAACAACTCTCTAAGACACTCCTGAAACGATACACCTCTCTTCTGTCCCATTTGTGTCAAAATTAGAAGGGTTCAAGAATAAGGTTTGCATTTCAGCTACGTAATTACATTCTCATTGTGCATGCATCTGCATGTACTAGAGATCAAGGATGAAACTGAATGTTTAAGAGGCTCACATTTTTGATTTACTGGATACTTGTATGTTTCTCCACTATTAGGATAGTCATAGTAAGGCTGAATTATCCCCTTCACAATACATGTGAAGGTGGTTTCAGGAGGAGTATGGCCCACCGCCATGGCGAGAATGTTCTCATAAGACGAGTTTCCTCTATGAATGAGGTGGGAAGAGAAAGAGAACATGTTTCTCCTTCACTGATGAGGTCGTAATTCATCTCCCATGTGACCAGTTGGGGAGGAAGGTAGGCGGAGTCACAGGAGAGGATAAAGGGATCTTCAGATAAGTATGTGACGGAGATGGGCTGGGGTGGAAAGGCTGCAAAAAATAACAGCAACAGTTTGATGTGCGGAAAGGATCAGTAAAACACAGCTAGGGTTCCATGCTGCCATTTTTGAAGTGATGGACACCTTCATTGTGCCATTCGTATACACGGGCAGAGGCACTACCGATGGGGCGGATGGGTAGGGGCTGTGTAACTTTAAAGGTGCACTTACGATTATTATGGAATAGATTGTGTGTAGCTAATACTATTGCATGCTACTTAAAACGTTCCGTGCCATGCATGGGTTGTTCCCTGCATGTTAGCTTGCATGTTAGCTAGCTACAAGTCGAAAAATCATTTCTTCAAAATGAAGGGGATATGTGGATGGTTGAAAGCACCAAAAAGAGGGGTTCATTACACAGCAAAGACACACAAAGCTACATGACATCATCACTACATCTTTGTCAGATATGAAAAAATATATATAGATTGTGACATCTCTTCATGAGTGCATTCAAGAAGCACTGGTGCCTTGCTCAAAGTGACCCATCCCTCTTCACTTTCTTTGCAACCCTTTTCTAGCTCTGCCGCTAACTTATTCTCTATGCTCTTAAGTATGGATGGCTTGAGAGGTGTAGAGCATGTTTGTGTTTGTTTATATAGAGTAGTTTCTTCTGTCATAGAGGTGATTATAGAAAGTGCTGTCTCACCAGAGGTGAATCCATAGTCATAGAGACCAAAATGCAAGACCTGCTCCACTCCATTCTCATCGGGGATGATGCAACTGTACACTCCCTCAGCTCCACTGTTAAACTGAGCACCTGGTCATATGACAGAGAGCAGGTGTACATGACGTAAGTCACTGGCCACGTGTATCTTCTAGAATACCCCACCATTTCTGTGGGTGTTTCTTTGAATAGTATATAGTGGGACCGAGCTTCAAAAAGGTAAGGGTGAGGCCTGCTTTTCCCCCCTCATTTCCTGGTACAAGCAAAAGCTTTAGGTAAGCCATACCATCTCTGAGAACAAGAGTGGTGTAGCTATGAAAGGTCTCAGTGTAGAACTGAATCTGGAACATGTCATTCCCCACTGATGGAATCTCCTCTCCACTGGGACTGATCCACCTGCCAATGTTGGACTGGATGGAGGCTGAGTGACAGGACACGGTGCCAATTCTGTGAGCCGAGTTTGCCTCCATTCCTGTGTTGTTGAGCATTTCATAACCTTCGAAGTCAACAAGCGCTGCCCCTGAGAAATAGGATGATCACAAAATGGAGGGAGATTGTAGCTAAACTTAACCAAACTCACCAGTAACTTGTGAATAAAGTCTGTCCTTAGCAACTGTACCAGAATCATCCCATGCTATGCATTCCTTTATATCCAAGCAGTAAACGAGGAGTGGAAACGATGGTGACTGATAGTCCCAGTATCGGTTGACGGAGGGAACTGCACTACCAACTGCTCATGGCCACCAGACAGACAGTACACTGAAAACTGGTAGGTGAACGAGCCGAGGGCAGTGACTTTACAGTAATACACGACGCTTGTGCCCGCATGGAAGATGGGACCCTCGGGATCTGTCCAGATATATGACCTCACTCCTGCAATAATCACCAGACAAGTGCTAAATAAGGGATACAGGTATTTTCAAAGCACCAAAAAGGGTCGGAAAAGGGACAAACGGAATAACATGAAAGTGGGATGATGTCATGTTGTCTGTTTGCCTATGCTATGTACCCACTCTTTGCGTCCACACTAGTATAGACATATGCATAAATGCTGTTACTCCACTTATAATCCTCGGCGCACATGCGCAGCGAGGGTTACGGTAGTTGTGTGTGTCTGTCGGTCTGTCAGTCCGTTACTCCACATCTCACTTCACGAGCCATGAATCGCTCCACAAACAATACCAGGTATTCAGCGTCGGGTAGATATAGGTCGAAAATTATGTGGGGTGTTCTCTGAAACGGCTGGGTTCGGGAGTTACGGCGTGAAACACGAGCGAAAAATCCAATTGCTAATTAAAACAGGCTTATCTCGAGCGGGTCAGCTTGCTCTGTGTATCTTGAAGGCACAAGAAGTCACAACAAAGGGCGTGTATATATCGACTCCCGCATGCTATCTACTACTTGTAGCAGCCCGTATCAGGCTATCCGCGCGGGAGACCAAGAGTAAACAAGTAGCTAAATAAAAAATCCTGGGAATTTAAAAAAAGAGACATAAGGGATGGTATAAAAAGAAAGGGAGACAAGATACGGGTGTGTTACATGAAGCATGGTTAATTAACAAATTTGAGCACCCTGACACCCCCAACCCAATCACACAATCTCTATATCGTTGCCTGGTGTGCCACTACATTTGTACTCTTGGTTATTCAGTAGCATGACTTTTTCGTACTTTCAAGCTGTAATGTTGAATGTTTAATACTTCACCTAGGCAACAATTAGGGAGGGTAGGAGTGATACAAAACAGGGAAATGATGTAAAACCCACAAACATGAAATAAGAGAGACTGTGGAGACATCCAGTCTCTCACAAAGTTTCATCTCCATGTGTCTTACCCTTAGCGAATTTGAGGAGTGAAGAAGTAATTACAAAGGAAAGTTTCTGTGGCTTTTGTTGTTGTGGTCGTCATGGAAACGATGTAAAACACATGTGCACCAAGTTTCACCTCCATGCGTGCTACAGTTAGCATGTTTGAGGAGTGAAGAAGTAGTTTTAGGCTTTTTCAAACAATATGCAGTCGTCATGGAAACATGTAATCATCATGGAAATGATAATTAATAGGCATACGTACCAAGTTTCATTTCTATGTGTGCTACCATTAGCGAGTTTGAGGAATGAAGAAGTAATTACAAAGAAAGGTTCTTGAGGCTTTTGTTGTTGGTCATGGAAACGATGTAGATATAATGCATGTGTACCAAGTTTCACTTCCATGCGTGCTATATACACTTAACAAGTTTGATAAGTGAAGAAGTATAGTTTTGAGGCATTTTCAAACAATATGTGGTCATGATGGAAACATGTAATCGTCATGGAAATGCATACATACCAAGTTTCATTTCTATGTGGGCTATATACCATTAGCGAGTTTGAGGAATGAAGAAGTAATTACAAAGAAAAGCTCCTGAGGCTTTATGTTGTTGTGGTCATCATGGAAACGATGTATTGTGTACCAAGTTTCACCTCCATACGTACTACAGTTAGCAAGTTTGAGGAGTGAAGAAGTAGTGTTAAAGAGCCTGAGGCTTTTTCAAACAATGCGGTCATCATGGAAACATGTATATAATCGTCATGGAAATGATATAACAGGCATACATACCAAGTTTCATCTCTATACATGCTACCATTGGAAAGTTTGAGAAGTGGAGAAGTTAATTTATTTTCTATTTGTTGTTGTTTAGAGTAAACAATGTTGTTTACTAAGTATGACCAGCCTCTTCGGGTGACAGATATCCACATTCTTACAAAATTTCATTACTGTCTGTTGTTTCGTTTATGAGTTATGGGTGTTGAATCGAAGAAGAAGAAGAAGAAGAAGAAGAAGAAGAAGAAGAGAAGAAGGAGATGAACAAAACTCCCTATCATAGCCCCATACATATGATGCTAGGTACCATGCCCATCCCTATAATACTAAGTACTATATACCGTACTATATAATAGTTAGACACTGATTCGAGGTAACTACGCGCAGTAGAAAGCCGAGATCGTGGCGCCCCGAGCGCAGCCTTCTTTTGCGCGTGTCGACGGTCTGCGCGTGCGCGTGGACGACGCGTCAATGTAGATTCAGTTGTTGATCTTGTTGTTTACATGTATGTTTTCCTGTTTCATCTGTAGTTTTTCTGTAGGTTTACTACATGTAGTAAACCCCGTCAAGGTTTACTACGGGAAATAGTAAACCTCAGTCAGTCGAACCTAGCTAGCTCACTCTGTACTACGTGCGAGGGACATACCGGATTTCAATGAACCCGAGTGCCTCCGTGTTTGTAGTGTCCAAAGCGCAGCGAGGGCACTACTATACGCGGATGGTCGAGGGTTCATTAGAGAGTCGGTAGACTCTTTATATAGGGATGACGCGTTTTAAATCTCACGTGATCCGCGTTCAAAACGACTAAAAAATCGGTGAAAATCACTCCCTAGGCCTTCAAAACATACTAGCAATAGTCTACGGGCCCATATCTACCTATAATGTCCCCCTAGACCTCATACGCACCTTCAGTCGTCCACGCGAGAATTCGCTAATACGCGATTTCGTGTCATCCCGCTAGCTCCTTACCGGAAGCACTTGAAGCGTTGATTTTTTCACAGAACGTCTCCGAATTTGCCGGGGGTGTGCACGCATATCAAACGATCGTTTGTTTCTTGCCGCAAGTTACTACGGTAGATCGCCGAGCTCTTCCTCGTAGTCACTGAACAACGCCATTTGCTGCTAACTCAGCATCAGTGAGCCACATGCGTCGAGGAGGGCGTTTTCAATGGGGTGCGCGCGCATTTTATCTCGTAAACCTGGTCCACGAATGAGACCATAGATAATATAGCGGCTAAGTGTCCAATCCTGTTCCGCTATATTATCTATGATGAGACTAAGCCAGGACTGGATGCCTGCAGAGAAAACTACTCACATCCTCCAGTGCCTTCTGTAAGTCAGTGTACACATTTGTAAGTGGCTAGCTTGCGTTTTGCTGTTGATTTGCACGAGGCGCAACTTGGCTCTGCACCGTGTTAGCTACGCGTGCCTTGCCAGGCGCTTCATTCTTTGTCCCCCAGGTTATAGCTATCGTTGTAGACAGATTTCTGAAGACTGCCCAATGAAACTACCACCATATGAGCCACTACTTATCGTGTCCTTGTCGGAGACACTACGCATACACCCTGCTTCAGGTGAGAGCAGTCCATTAGCTTCTGCTTTCAACAGTTATCTCTACAACATACCCATGAACATCAGAGTGACTGAAAATGCAGTGTTGTCATAAGCCAAAAATAGTGGAAACAAGTGGAAAAATCTGGATATAGGGATGGCTTGAAGATCCAAAAATGGGTCATTACACACCAAATATGCACAATGCCACATGACGCCATCTTTTATTAACCCTCGACGCACATGCGCAGCGAGGGTTACGGTAGTTTTACCCTCGGCGCCCATGCGCAGTGAGGGTACTGCACACTTCCATCACTTTCAGTTGTTACGTATGTGTCAGGATCATAACCAACATCGATTGGTTCTAAAGAAGAGAGCATTCATTCATTTCTCCTTTACTGCATATTACTGTAGTTGGGTCTGCCTGTCTGTTACTCTCGTCTCACAAAGGATACCACCTACCGAACGGGCAATGAAGGTCAGAAGTTTCGAACGGTTTTGCTTGCTCTGTGTATTTTGAAGGCACAAGAAGTCACAACGAAGGGCGTGTGTCGACTCGCATGGTAATCTACTACTGTAGCTAGCCCGTGTCAGACTCTCTGCGAGCTATATACTAGCGGGAGACCGCGAGTAAACGCATACTAATATACCGCCCATGCGCAGTTCGCCGAGGGTTTGCACTTCAGTGCTTTTCATTTCAAGTGTAGGGAAACTGCACTGTCTTTACCACAAAGTTTTAGGGGACTGTAACTGCATCACAAAGTTGACATAGCACACTGTTAGAGGTGAATGTCTGTACACTGACAATTGTGTTGTATGCCAACAGTAGTGAGTAACCCCTCAGGAGACTGGTCTTAGCTCTGACAGAATATTATCCTCCTCCCTTGAGGAGTGCACTCTACAGTCAGTAGCTATGCCTGTCGGGGTACTACTACATTGAAGCTACACACTACTCACCTAAACATCAGTGCACATAACTATTGTATGCAGTATATCAGCACCCTTCCTACATGCACCTTCACATAGTATTCTGAACAAGGTGGTAACTATAGGCTCCTCTTTTCTTACAGCTACATATTATCTGGTTTTCCCCTGGGAAGCTTTCTACCTCTGCAGGTCTTTAAAGGCTGTCAAAGGGGGACTGGTGTCTCAACTGCAGCCAGGAATGAAACTACCACCATATGAGCCACTACTTATCGTGTCCTTGTCGGAGACACTACGCATACACCCTGCTTCAGGTGAGAGCAGTCCATTAGCTTCTGCTTTCAACAGTTATCTCTACAACATACCCATGAACATCAGAGTGACTGAAAATGCAGTGTTGTCATAAGCCAAAAATAGTGGAAACAAGTGGAAAAATCTGGATATAGGGATGGCTTGAAGATCCAAAAATGGGTCATTACACACCAAATATGCACAATGCCACATGACGCCATCTTTTATTAACCCTCGACGCACATGCGCAGCGAGGGTTACGGTAGTTTTACCCTCGGCGCCCATGCGCAGTGAGGGTACTGCACACTTCCATCACTTTCAGTTGTTACGTATGTGTCAGGATCATAACCAACATCGATTGGTTCTAAAGAAGAGAGCATTCATTCATTTCTCCTTTACTGCATATTACTGTAGTTGGGTCTGCCTGTCTGTTACTCTCGTCTCACAAAGGATACCACCTACCGAACGGGCAATGAAGGTCAGAAGTTTCGAACGGTTTTGCTTGCTCTGTGTATTTTGAAGGCACAAGAAGTCACAACGAAGGGCGTGTGTCGACTCGCATGGTAATCTACTACTGTAGCTAGCCCGTGTCAGACTCTCTGCGAGCTATATACTAGCGGGAGACCGCGAGTAAACGCATACTAATATACCGCCCATGCGCAGTTCGCCGAGGGTTTGCACTTCAGTGCTTTTCATTTCAAGTGTAGGGAAACTGCACTGTCTTTACCACAAAGTTTTAGGGGACTGTAACTGCATCACAAAGTTGACATAGCACACTGTTAGAGGTGAATGTCTGTACACTGACAATTGTGTTGTATGCCAACAGTAGTGAGTAACCCCTCAGGAGACTGGTCTTAGCTCTGACAGAATATTATCCTCCTCCCTTGAGGAGTGCACTCTACAGTCAGTAGCTATGCCTGTCGGGGTACTACTACATTGAAGCTACACACTACTCACCTAAACATCAGTGCACATAACTATTGTATGCAGTATATCAGCACCCTTCCTACATGCACCTTCACATAGTATTCTGAACAAGGTGGTAACTATAGGCTCCTCTTTTCTTACAGCTACATATTATCTGGTTTTCCCCTGGGAAGCTTTCTACCTCTGCAGGTCTTTAAAGGCTGTCAAAGGGGGACTGGTGTCTCAACTGCAGCCAGGAATGAAAAGCACTTGAAAGTGCATAACCCTCGCCACTTTATTCTTATTCAGCCAATGGCTACTACGTCAGTTTTTGCACATGCGAGTTCAATACTAGTTACTACTACAGCAAAGTGAAAAGCACTAGTCTTGACAACCCTCACCACTATTCAGCTACATAGCTACTATAGCTACGCCACCTCGTGGCTCCTTCACTGAACGGATTCACTGGGGCGTGTGCTGCTCTCACTTCACCGGCAATCTCGATCCTACTCAACTGTACCATCAATACAGCCAGACCAGCAAATCTTCTCCACACACGCAAAGCATCTAAGCATTATACAACGATGGTTCGCCATCTCTATTTCACGCACACCCACCTCGGCAGCCGTCCGTTTCACCAGCTTCCCCCGGGCTTCTCCACTCCAGAATATTATTTTACCATGCATTCCTCCTAGTTGAAAATATGTCCACGTTTCACGCTCAGAGTTGCCGCGGTTACCGAGAAAAACGGAGGACAGACGGACGGACGGACGGACGGACGGACGGACACACGCACACACACGCACACACACACACACACACACACAGACAGACAGACCGACTGCAATAACCCTCGCTGCGCATGCGCGCAGGCGAGGGTTAAAATTGAGGAGGGTGACCTGTCAGAGGACGGCATCCCTGTACTCAGATTATCTGGGGCCTTAGCAGGTGGGGCTCTGAAGTGTTTTCCCCAGCCCTTATCACTGTGCTGACTTTACACATCCTGTGCCCTTATCACCAGCTGGGTAGACCTCTTCAAAAGAGTGAACTCTCTTGCACAACAAATCACATTCATATCCTTTTGATGTTGGACGTACTTATTGGCGAGCGGGAGCGAGCTAACCTAGTGGTACGAACGGCGCGGATTTATTATATCTACGACCGTACGTCGTCCAACTGCGCATGCTCCAGGATTACGCGCTTCTTTTTATCCGAAAGGATTTCAAAATTTCACATGCTGCCTTCCTAGATCCTGTGATGATGTCGTGGGTGTACATGTGCATAATATAGTCCGGGGAAGATGCCCTTCGTCGTCGAAGAGAGAGGCAAAGAGAACATCGTGCCCGTGAGACTCCTGAGCAGAGAGGCTCGTTTGTATCAGCGTCGCTTTCGTGATAGGGAACGCGCAAATTTTTACACGCTACCCTAGCTGACATATCGATGCGAAGTATAGCCAGCCAAAGAACTCTCGTCTATTTGCTGGCATTCGCTGTGCTCTTCGATACCTGACCGAGGCTGTCTATACCTCCTTCCAATCTTCGTGATTCTAAGGTTCAAGTTGTAGGATGGCTCGTGCAGATGGAGTCATTGTGTGCTCGCTCCCGCTCGCCAAAAATGCCAAAGCTACTAGTATGTCTCACTTGCGCATGCGCCCGCTACGCGCGAGAGGCGCGCGCAAGTGCGTCAAAATTTGAACGTCACCCAGCCGCCAGTCCGGTATATATATAATATACATATAGGGCCGCGCCTAGGCACGCGTGTTTCACGCAATACATTTCGCGGACATTCGGACACACCCCTGAAATATTTTCCCCCGCATACATGTCCGTAGCAACGTCCTAGCAACCGTTTTACAGGCGGAATGTTTGGCCCTATTCCGATTTGAAAACATAGGGGTGGGGCGCTACACTATAGGGGAGCCCGCGCGATCGCGAGCGCGACCGCAGCCGGCCGCGCGCCGTGCGTGCGTAAGTATGTACATGTGCGCCGCAGCAGCCCCTCCCCCTCGCTCTGCAGCCACAAAAGGGTGGGGCTGAGTATGCGCAAAAATAATTGGAACAAGTGGAAAAATCATTTCTTCAAAATGAAGGGGGGTGTAGGGATGGCGTAAATTATGAAAAAGGATGCCAACAAGAAGATGCTTCAGCCGACAACAAAAATCATACATCCATCCCTACATCTTTCTTTACTCTCACACCCTCTACTGTCATAATTATGTTGTATCTTCCATACTTTATGACAAGTAACCACACATTTTTTATACAGAGCAAAAGAAAGAAAGATGTAGGGATGGATGTATGATTTTTGTTGTCGGCTGAAGCATCTTCTTGTTGGCATCCTTTTTCATAATTTACGCCATCCCTACATCCCCCTTCATTTTGAAGAAATGATTTTTCCACTTGTAATAAACCTACCATCATAGTGTAATGCATAGACCAGAGTATTCCAGTCACTCTCAGGTCTGTTGCTACAGCCAACCTCATTGGAACTGTACGTGTTAGCCTTTCGGTGGTTGAAGGAGAAGTTACCAGAGGCTGAAAAGCCAATGGCAGCCTCATGTGTCTGGAGAAGGTCACAGTTATAGATGAAGAGACAGAAGGACTTGTGGCCGTCTGTCACCAACACCGCCTGATAGCTGTTTGACTGTGACAGGAAAAGATCAAAGTGTCGTACCTAACCCTTTCCTTCTCGAAAAATGAATCTTACTGTACTGCCAAATGCATGTGCGCATTACAGTAAAACCCTTCTAAGGACAACCCTTCAATGAGGACATATTTCTATTTCCCGATCTGAAATGTAGGGAAGCAATGTCCATAACATCATCATTTTCCACCTCAGATCTCCCTGCTTCTCCACACCACAGCTTCACAAAGCATGAAGCTAAAGATGTGGGCACTAAACTACTGCCCCTCTCTTTCTTACAAAGGCATTTAACCTTCTAACAAAGTCCTGAAAGTTTACCAACCTGCAAAGAAGCTCCGACAGCTTTCCAGTAAACTACCAGTAGCCACACTCCTTCAAACAGCACACCGAGCTCCTGACTAATTTCCAAGTTGACCCTTTCCAGCAGATTTCCAGTAGTGTGTACTTCATATGTCACTTGGCCTGTGGGGGTATGCTCCTGGTTGTTACTGACACACACTCATAAGGGAAACTCATAAAGACAAGAGATTATTTTGCTTTATGTCATCAGCAAAACAGTTGATCGCTATAAGCTCTTTTGACACTGGTTTACTGTATACACACGTGAAATTGCAATGCCTGAATCCTCGAACTTGTTGCAATGGGCGTGCAAAGTGCCCTCCGTTTCAGTTAGTGCTTGATATACATAAAGACCGACTGACGACTGAAACATGACTTAGTCTGATATTTTTATCACTCATGTAACTTCTGATTTCTGAGTAAAAGTTGAAATAAGTAGTCGCACGAGTATTTGCACACGCTTGCAGCACGGACCTAATGTGCAGATGGAATGCTGTAGGGGATTTAATTAGCAAATGCATAATAATAATATGACTGTGAGGAATCGCCCAAGCATTGCACACGCTGCATTATGCATAATGTTGTGGCATTGTTCATTTTTTTAATGTGATCTGCAGTGTAAAAGCAGCATGTCTGTGGTATTAAGTTTGACCATACTTCTAACAACAATAACCTTGTTCTATGGTGTCATAGTAAGTCCAGTAAGGAGAAACGATATGAGTATAGCCATATTCAGTTGTGGGTATGCCGAACAGTTCCCCAGGCGGTCTACCATAGTTTCTAGCTGCTCTAAATGACAGGAACCCTTTCATATTGACCTGCAGAACAACATGAACACAACGAGGGAAGTGACAGACTGCAGTCTGTTAGCTACATCTACGCGGATTATAATTAGAAGGCCCAATGTGCTTCCATATGAATAGTCTTGAGCCTTAGTTTTCTGAGAATAATGAGTTCATTGGAAGAGTTGCCAAACTTGTACGTACACCAGTGGACATGCATTTCTCTTTACATGCAGGTTATGCAACTATGCATCTGGGATTTACCAAAAATGATAATCTGAGGCTATATGCACATAACGTGTTCAGATTAAAATAAAGGAATAAGAAGGAGCCATAATCATCTGCTATAGATGTGTCAACTACTAGGTAGCGAGGTATATAGAAAGGCAAGGCAAACAATCAAGTCATCTACACCCAGGACAGATCCTTCTTTTTGAGAAGAAGAGCTGCCCTGGGTGGGATTCGTACCCACGACACTCTGCTTCTAGGCGGGCACTCTATATAGCTACCAACAGAGCTGCCAGGGCAACTCAGCTGATAGGGATTCAAATCTACACCAAATCACAACACAAAGGTAAACCTCCAACCACTGTGCAGTATAGCTACACAACAATAATTATATATACATAGAGAGAGAGCAGGACACCAGATTGAAATGCCCAGCATTATTATGCAGTGGGTAACAAGATCTTTCATGTTAGGCAACTAGCTAAGCAGAGGTAATAGTAAAACTTACATAAACAACAGACTCTGATTCATTGGAGAAAGGGAAGCCATTTGGTAGAGAGATGGGGATGGGGTCAGAGTTCACTGCGTTTCCCAACAGAAGTAACCCAGTGAGGTTAGCCGAGGACGAGCCAAACTCCAGGAATTCCAGAGAAGAGAGGGAGTAAGGACCATGCTGTAGCAAAAGAAAAGAGCAGGTCAAGGTTTTTCGTAGCTCACATGACAGTGAAATACTATATATATAGCTACTTAGTAGGTACGCTGTGGCAAACTGTTAATAAGGTATAACTAGCTAGTTTGCTTGGAATTATACACAAGGGCTTTGCCGCGACTGCCATGTAGCTATATAGTATCGGTGTAGGCCAGTATAATAGTGTTATGTCACATAGGGTGGGATTTGGTGTGGTCCTTGCAACATCATGCATGACGCAGTGATTGGCTGCAATATTATTAGCTACATCATAACGCCTATAGTTATGTGACAAAGAAGGTAGACTCTATATAGTCTCATGTATCTTGGTGACATTCCCTACTGTGGTGTAGTCTATATAGTTGAACCAAACCTATTATATAGTCTCAAGCAGCGAAGGTCTTAGTAGAAGCCTGCCTATAGCTATGAGTAACTAAGTCATCGATAATCTGAGTCATCTATTTCTGACACGTTTTTATGAAGATAAAAAGAGCAAGCTACATAAATATGTTACTACATTTTAGGACGCCAGCACTCCCAAACTAGTTTCCCTTCAGTATATACACTTCTTTATAATTACCATTCATTTCTCATTTATAGCGTCTTATCTTATTATAATATTATAGTGTAGCTACTGTAAAGCTTGAAATAAAATAAATTAGCATTGGCCATTATTAGTTAAAGCGCTTTTCTGTATATGCAGATGCAGACAAAAAAATCCATGGCCAACGCCTGTTTTAACATTTAGCTACTTTGCAATCGGGCGTATAGCTATAGCTATGCTGTAAAAACCTGCACATAGCTATCTGCTAAATACAGACATGATTTCTATAACACCACCTCCAGCCTTTCTGCCTCGTTGTGGGTGCCAAATCTCGCTGTCAGAAAACGCGGAGATTCCCTACAGCTTTTCTGATGCGACTGTTCGTGTTCCTGGAGTTGGACTTATTGTCATCTCCTCGTCGTCACTCACGAAATTGATGCGAAGGAACGCACTACTTGGCAGGGCGCTCGGTAACAAGCCCATGGAACGTGAGAGGAGAAGATATATATTATAGCTACCTACAAGTTATTGTCTCTTGTCATTCTCTGACAATGAGACTGCTGGCAGATTATTGGTCGCTGTATATACCTATAATACCTGTTGTACCTATAATACCTGTTGTGCTGTCGGGTGACAGGAGAAGAGCGAGCAATACGGCCAGCCACTGCACTGAGGTAACTCCCTCCACGAACAGACGGCAAATCATACCTGGAGAGAGCACCAGCCACTCGCTGCTCCCTTGGAGCAATTTTTATCAGAAATAATGCCGCTCGCCCCGACTTGTATCGCGCATGCGCACTACCGTCCGAACTTGACTCGACCGTAACAGTAACTTATTTGATGACTGTTTATGGTACAACACAGGTGAGTATTTATACTCTAGGTAAAAGTAGGATGTGGTATCGTACAATGGACCTCCGTGAAGATAACTAGCCTGTTTTACAGTGTCTCTCCTTTCTTTCGAGCCTGGCTTTGAAATCTGATTGGCTATAGCTATACAACGAGAGACTTGGGACTCTGTTAGGTCAATCATAATACCCCTTTCCTACATATTTGCCACATTGTTTTGCGTTTGACAGAGAACCTACGTGTATAGTGATGATCTCTAACATCGGGCACAAACTTTATTATTTCCATTCGTGTATGGATATAGGGATTGATAGGCCACACACTCCTGTTTGTATTATCCAGAGTGCTAAATTTTTTTCTTTGTTGTGCAACTGAGTGGTGTATTTGGGCAGGCTGGACTGATCAAGTCACTTGTTACTGTCACTTTAATTTGACAACAGCGGAGACTGATGGACTCAGGGCTGGTAGTGACACCCAACAAGGTATTACATTATTGTGTTTCAAACCTCATAAGTAGTAATCTGGCCTGCCCCTTCTACAATAATGCTTGGCTGTTAGCTATAGTTTCTGCATACATGTAGCTACACTGCTGTGATTGCATCAGTTGGCTCAGGTGGACAACTAAGTACGGTAGTAGCTAGCTACTTGTTACACAGGTTATCCCTACCTTTGAGATTTCACGTTTCACTTCCGGTTCAGTCACATCCCACTTCTGACAAAATCACCCTTATGATCACAACAAGCGTGAACCATCATGTTTCTGGTAGCTAATTGTTGTCAGTCTGTATTATAGTGCTACAGCAAAGTGGTGCAATGTAGAGAATGCAGCTCACAAGGTTATCAGGCAACAGCGAGGAGATTCACATTGACAGATGGAGAGGATAATCTCTTAGCTCTGGCTGTACACACAATGAGGAGCTCCCCTGATATATATACTTGAGAGTCAAATGCTCTCTCTCATTGTCCCTTCTGCCTCAGGTACACTTATTCAACTTTATTTCTGTGGTTATTAACCCTCGGCGCGCATGCGCAGCGAGGGTTACGGTAGTTGTCCCGTAAGTGTGTCAGTCCGTCAGTCCGTCTGTCTGTTACCACGTTTTCTGCCACCGCGCGCATGAAATCAGGTAAATACCGATATGATCGGGTTCAGTGCTACACTGGGTTGATTTTAAAAAAGGCGATTTTCGTAAAACTACTGCGTTCTAAAGTTATGGCGTGAAAACCAAGTGAACAAGCCAATATGTAAATTAGCACAGGCTTACCTCGACCGCGTCCGTTCGCTCTGTGTGTCTTGAAGCTTGAAGGCACAACAAGTCACAACGAAGGGCATGTATCGACTCCCGCATGCTATTTACTACTGTAGCTAGCCCGTGCCAGACTCTCCTCGAGCTACTAGCGGGATACCACGAGTAAAGGCATAAAAGCCCAGCCCATCAATTAGTGTTACCGCACATGCGCAGTTCGCCGAGGGTTTGCACTTTAGTGCTTTTCATGTTATACTAGCTGCAATGACTAATAGATACACTTTGTAAGGCGATACATACGTAATTGTGCGCTCCTTCGCCGCCAATCAGACAGCTCATATTATGCTCCTGACAATGTTCACTCCACAATGACTGCTATTAGATGCTCTTTTATGAGACGGTTTTACTTGGAGTTTGATGGCCACTGGCTGAGGCTTCTTTGCGGCTATGATTGGATTGACTTCTTTTCACTGCTGAAGCTGGATTCAACTTTGAATTAAGTGACGTTTCCTAGTCTTCATCTCTTTCAAACTCAATGCCATGCAATGTCAAGGAGATCCATGAGTTCAAAACACATGGATAGCTATGCACCCCTTCTCTAGATCAGCAAGATAGATACACTACTATACCCTCATCGGTGACAATCCCATGACTGCTAAATTCTTCATCCTTATCCATCTCCAGAAACGCCTCCCTCTCTAATTAAACAGGAGGTTGTTACACAGTGGCCATAACTACATGAAACTATCATGCATTGTAAGACCAAAGACATACAAAATATTGTAAGACCACAAATATTGCAAGACCATAGGTAGACTAGTGGACTGTGACGAGGCGCGCATAACTCAATTCCGGAATTCTGCACCACATAATATAAAAACATGTATTTTAAATTAGTATAATTACCTTGAGCACCTGCGCATGCGCAGCTTTTACAGGCATCGATCACGCGCCGAGCAGGTGTCTCTCCTGCATGGTGGTCTCTGAACTTCAAGTGGGAGCTGAAACGTTGAAATGTGTGGGGAGAGCCGCAGCACCACGCGGAGGTTCACCTGGCAGGAACTGAGCCAGCTGAACCAGCGACACAACGCGCACGTGGCCGTCCGGGGGAAGGTGAAGTGACCTCCGTTCACCGAAAGTTACAGGAGGACTAACACCCCATTGTTGACATTTGCATGTGTATGATGTGAGTGCGTTCATAGAGAAGCATCCAGGAGGAGCTAGGCAGCTCTTACTGGGTGCTGGAAGAGACATCACCATGATTTTTGAGTCCTACCACCATTTCAACAACAGCAAGTATAGGCTTATTTTGATTTTACGTATGTTGAAAGATAATATTCTGTGTCTCCATAGGGTTCTAGAGAAATACTATGTCGGTGAGCTAGTGACAAATGAACTGCCTGTGTTTCCGAAACCAGGGTGAGGCAGGGTTGCACCAACTGATATTCTAGCATTTGTACTTCTTTAGGCTGTTTTATGTGACACTGAGAGAAAGAGTGGACAAGTACTTCAAAGAAAAGAACATTGTAAGACAGTATGTAGCCAAAGTGTAATGGTTCAAGTGCTCACTACTATTGAAGCCATTCTGTGTGTGGCGGGATAATGACATTCTTCCCAATTCAGGACGCCAAGATAAGCTACCGGATGTTTCTTAGCTACCTCGTTTTCTTTTTGACTTCAAACCTCTTTTGGGTTGGCATGGTGAGTTCGTAGCAAGTAAAAAATGTCAGGAGCATATTATTATGAGCTGCCTGAATGGTGACGAAGGAGCATATATACAACTGCAGTTCATGAGTGTGCCGCATGGTCATACTCGCATACAGTCTGGCTAGCCTTCAAGAACTTCTGTATTAGAAATCCCTGCAGCGACGTGGTTTATGTTAGAGAACCACACGGGGATGTGTAGTTGTGTGCTCCTTTGCAACCCTTTGAAGCACCTCATGTCATATGCTCCTGGCGATGTTTCCTCTCCATTAGATGCTCTTTCATGAGACGGTTTTACTTGGACTTTTGATGGCCACTGGCTGGGGCTTCTTTGCGGCTATGATTGGATTGACTTCTTTTCACGATGCCAAGTTAGTAGCTACTAAAATATTTATCTCCTTGGCTATTGGTATTATCATTTTCAGCCACTTTGCAATCACCCACAAACCATGGGTGTGGAATGTAGTTGGTAGCTTCCACGACTTTTTCCTCGGAAACTCTATGATAGTCTTGATCCATCAAGTGAGTGTGACCCTATTGTATACCCTCGTTGTAACCCACTTCATTTTCCTGTATTATAGCATGTACTGGGCCACCACCAATACACCAATATTGATGGCGCTGATCCAGACATTGTCACTGTAAGTCTGGTTTGACAAATAGTCTGACAAGTGCTATGTGGCTCTATAGGATACTGTTGATATCCGTCGTATCAAGTGGAGCCAGAGGTGGATGCCTCGCTACCTTTACCAACACATCTATGTTCCATTTCTCTACTGTGCTGTGGGTTACTCGTCTACTATGGCTACTGTCTTCTCCATTTCCATTACTGTAGTTGGGAACGAAAACTCGAGTTCAAGACTTGTACGTTCTGTACTCACGCCAAAATGGTAATGGTACATGTATCCACGTTTGTTCACCATACCCACATGCTGCAGCCAATATTAGAGTGAACAGACTAACAAACACCCAGCTCTTCGTGGTATTTGCCGGGAAATTGACCCACTGCATCTACCGATTCCTTGTTCCCTGGCTCTTCATGCCCTGGACTAGCCTGGTGAGTCTCTTCATATAGGATATTTTTTATATCCGTCGTATCAAGTGGAGCCAGAGGTGGATGCCTCGCTACTTTTACCAACACATCTATGTTCCATTTCTCTACTGTGCTGTGGGTTAAGCCCCACCTAGGACAACTCTTTTTCTTTGAACATGAAGTGCTGTCCTGAGTGTTGTTGTAATTCACTGTGCTAGTGTTGACACCACGTGATTGATATTCAGTCTGGATTCTCGCCTGACCAGCCAGATGTGGAACCAAATGTTTGGTTATGAAAATGGTGCTTATCTTCGCACACAGTGAATGCATTAAGAGTGAAGTGTCTCCACGTTTCACAGAGCCCTTATTTCAAGTCAGATATCATCGACTAACATTTCGCTCACTAAATTCTCACTCTTTAGCTTCTCGGTTTTTACTGCACGATTGGCCACTAGCTGCCAGCACAATAGCTGCCATCACGTGTGTACGTAAGAGCTGGTAGCCAGTCTTGGCCAGTGTTGAATGGTGCATGACTGTAGAGCTATAGAGCCATGCCCAGCTGCAGCCAAGGCACGGTGGAGACAAAGTACAGTGGAACCTCCAAGCAAGGGACACTATGGGGCCAACAATTTTGTATCACTAAGTACGGTAGTACTTAGTGTATTATAGGGATGACACAGGTTGTCCTGCATTATGCCCATACATTCGAGATTTTCCTGTTTCACTTTCAGTTACAATCAGGTCCAACATTTTACACATCAGACTGATCCGTATCGTCACAAAGAGCATATTTCCAAGAAATGGCTTAAATCGCATAATTGGTACTTGATTTATTCAAGAAAGTCAGTTTTAAAATTCTTGTTAACCCTCGGCGCGCATGCGCAGCGAGGGTTACTGTACTTGGTTTGTGTGTCTGTGTGTCTGTGTGTCCGTTCACGTTTTCTGCCACTAGACGCAACAAAACTCTACACCAACGGGTTCGGCGCTACATTTGCTCATTTTAAAACTGGCGATTTTCGTAAAAACACAGCGTTCAAAAGTTATGGTGTGAAAACCAAGTGAACAAGCCAATATGCAAATTAGCACAGGCTTACCTCGACAAGATGTGCTTGATCTGCGTACCTTGGAGGCACAAGACGTCACAACGAATGGCGTGTATCGACTCCCGCATGCTATCTACTACTGTAGCTTGCCCATGTCAGACTCTCCGTGTGCTACTAGCGGGAGACCGCGAGTAAACGCATACAACTACGGCCCAGCCCATCAATTAGCGGTATCGCGCAAGCGCAGTTCGCCGAGGGTTTGCACTTCAGTGCTTTTTTTCATTCTTGTTGTTGTTGTTGTTGTTCAGTTTAGACACGCGTATCTCAAAAACCACTTAAGGTATGGATATGAAACTTTGCAGAAAGATTGTAATCCATGACCCAGCGTGCAAGAGCATTTTTATTTTTTCGTAAACAATTTTGTTTACAAGAAAGCAACAACAAATAGCCCCAGGCAATATATTATGATAGAGACAAATAAAGTGTACTAACTAGGTAGAGGAAATACCCAGAACGATAAAACTTTGTACACATATGCAACCCATCATTAGTATCAAAATGTAAACACTACAAGTTTGTAAACAACAACAAGCAGGCAATAAAAACTTGTAAATGGTGTTTGTGCCCATAATTTGCTTATGGTGGGTCCTCTAACAATGAAACTTGGTACACTGATGTACCATAATGAGTGTTCATCGAAACATAAATCACAAGTTTGTAAACAACAACAAACAGCCTCAGGCAATAAATACTTGTAAATGATGTTTGTGCCTCTAACTTGCTAATGGTTGGCCCACTAACAATGAAACTTGGTACACTGATGTACCATGATGAGAGTTCATCGAAACATAAATCACAAGCTTGTTAACAATAACAAACAGCCTCTGGCAATAGTAAATGGTGTTTGTGCCTATAAATTACTAGTGGTATGTCCTCTAACAATGAAACTTGGTACACTGATTCACCATGGTAGAGTTCATCGAAACAGAAATTACAAGGTTGTAAACGACAACAAACAGCCTCAGGCAAAATAGACTTTTAAATGGTGTAAGTGCCTATAACTCCTATGATGGGTCCGCACTGATGTAATGTGAATGACGACAAAACGTCTGAGGCGATAGCTTAAGGCCACAAATGTTACTTTTTTATGGGCTTATGCCCAACTTTTAATTGCACGCCATGCATGTGGATGCAGGTAAAGAGACAAGTAAATAAAAAATTCTTAGAATTAAAAAAGTGTGGAATATAGGGATGCCATAAAAAGTAAGGAGACAAGACAGGGATGACCTAGTGAACATGATGCAGTATAGTATAATGGATGATGGCTACATACTTTGCACTGACATGGTTTGCTTGTGTAAAATTTCCTCCACACGAGCCCTATATTGTCGCCACCTTTACTGTTTGTTTAGTGAAGTTCGAGGACAATGGTGAAAGGATTCTGTATGTAGATGGCCAAGAGCTCAGCATTGTAAAACTGGTTAGTTGAGCAAATGTAGAAGTCTTAGACTCCACCCAACCGAGCACATGGTATTACCTGTCTAATGTGCTTATGAAATATCGTAGCTGTGCATAATACAGGGGAGACTTTGCGACAATATAGGGCTCGTGTGGAGGAAATTTTACACGAGCAAGCGATGTCAGTTCAAAGTATGTAGCCATCATCCATTGTACTACTGCATCATGTTCACTAGGTCAATCCCTCGTCTCGTCGCATACTACTCTTATTTCACACTCTCGGCTGCGCAGCGAGCGCGTTAAAGTACTTTTGGTTGGATCCCGTCCTGTCTGTCTGTCCGTCTGTTAACCACTGTTTGAATCTGCCAGCCGACACCGCAACAAACAGGTAAAATGCGACGAATACCAACCGATCAGCGCTAGACTAGCTTGATCTTTACCGACTGGCGATCTTCTGCGCAAAGTTCCGCGTTCGTGTGATCAGGACTGGGTTGGAGAAGAGGCAGTGGCTCGAGCGCACGTCGCCGATGCTACTTTACGACTCTCTCACTCAGTCCTTTCCCATCCACGCTCTGCCGCCTCACAGCACCTCGAAGTCCAACGTCCCTCGCAAAACAGAACCTGGCCTCACCTCGACGGCACACCGTCCAGGACAAGGCAGGTGAGCGACCGCTACCAAGGGCGACGCTATCTCTACAGTAGCAGTAGCGTGGAGACTCCGGACCGGGAGGATGACGTACACCCCAGGACAAGAGGATACCACATAGCGCCGTGCCCATCGAGTCGACGTCTCACAGAATCCCGCGTTTCCTATGTATATTATGCATCCCTAATATTCACACTGTGTTCATTGTCCTAAAGTCTGATATGCCCATACATTCGAGATTTTCATGTTTCACTTTCAGTTACAATCAGGTCCAACTTTTGACACATCAGACTAACGTCACAAAGAGCATGTATCCAAGAAATGGCTTAAATCGCATAATCGGTACTTGATTTATTCAAAAAAAGTCACTTCTATTTGTTCTCGTAGTTGTTGTTGTTCAGTTTAGACAAGCGTATCTCAAAAACCACTTAAGATATGGAGATGAAACTTTGCACAAAGATTGGAATCCGTGACCCGGCATGCAAGAGCTGTTTAATTTGTTTGTAAACAATGTTGTTTTGCTTACATGTAAACAACAAAAACATCAAATAGTAGTCCCAGGCCATACATTATATAGGCCAATAAAGTGTGCTAACTAGGTAGAGCAAGTACCCAGAATGATAACACTTTGTACACACATGCAACCCATCATTAGTATCAAAATGTAAACATTACAAGTTTGTAAACAACAACAAACAGCCTCAGGCAATAAAAACTTGTAAATGGTGTTTGTGCCTCTAACTTGCTTATGGTTGGTCCACTAACACGGAAACTTGGTACACTAATGTATCATGATGTGAGGTCATCGAAACAGAAATTACAAGCTTGTAAACAACAACAAACAGCCTCAGGCAATAAAAACTTGTAAATGGTGTTTGTGCCTATAAACTACTTGTAGTTGGTCCTCTGATTCACCATGATAAGAGTTCTTCGAAACAGAAATTACAAGGTTGTAAACAACAACAAACAGCCTCTGGCAAAATAGACTTTTTTAAATGGTGTCAGTGCCTTTAACTTGCTTATGATGAGTCCTCTCACAATGAAACTTGGTGCACTGATGTAATATGAATGACGGCAAAACGTCTGAGGCGATAACTAAAGGCCACTAATGTTACTTTTTTTATGGGCTTATGCCCAAAAATATTTTGCACACCATGCATGTGAGTGCTGTAAAAAAATGAAAGGAGACAAGTAAATAGAAAGCGTGGAGTATAGGGATGCCATAGAAAGAAAGGAGACAAGACAGGGATGACCTAGTGAACATGATGCAGTAGTACAATGGATGATGGCTACATACTTTGAACTGACATCACTTGCTCGTGTAAAATTTCCTCTACACTCATGCCCTATATTGTCGCCACCTTTACTGTTTGTTTAGTGAAGTGCGAGGACAAAGGTGAAAGGATTCTGTATGTAGATGGCCAAGAATGTAGCATCGTAAAACTGGTTAGTTGAGCAAATGTAGAAGTCTTTTAGCATTCACACAATGCAGTCACAACTGAAAACCGAGCAGATGCCTGTCTAATGTGCTAATGATATATATCATAGCTGTGCATCATACAAGGGAGCACACTGTACTTTGCCACAATATAGGGCTTGTGTCGAGGAAATTTTACACAAGCAAGTGATATCAGTTCAAAGTATGTAGCCATCATCCATTGTACTATATACTGCATCACATTCACTAGGCTATCCCTGTTTTGTCTCCTTGCATCCCTATATTCCACACATTTTTAATTGGAATAATATTTTTATTTACTTGTATACCTTGTAGAGAGGTCGTCCCTATGTTGGAGGTATTAATTAGCAAGTGTCCTTTGTAGAGAGGTCATCTCTATGTCAAAGGGTCCTTTGTCGGAGGTTCCACAGTATAGGACTGGAGAGTATTTACTGGTGTGGTTGCGCAAGCTTGTAACGTACTATAATAGGTTAGACGCTGGAAGGGAGGGACCTATGTACGTAAATTCAGAAACCCGATGGCAGAGCTGTGGTGTCCCGAGTGCAGCGAGAGCACTACATCGCCCGAGGGTTTCTGAATTTATGTAGGTCCAGAGCGTTCCAGCGTCTAACCATTTTAGTGCAGAGCCATGCGTGAAGCGTCGGTTTCCATGAATTTCCGTAGGTTCCATTGTCTAACCTTTCTAGTGCAGAGCATACGTGCGAAGCGTCAGTTTCGATCGATCGAGACTTGGCAGCAGCGCCGAACGGAAGCCGCGTTCGGGTGGAACAAGCGTAAACGGCAAAAAAGCGGGCAGCGGTGCTTCTTAGGCAGCGCACCGCGGCATGGTACGAGCCTTTAGCTCAAGTGTTAAGACGGCTTTTTTTCGGTACGACCAGCAATATGCACGGGCTAGGCTTATAGCTGAAGCTGGCGTTACCACGCCCCTTTTCTTTTTCCCCTCACGCGCATGCGCACAATTGGACACATACGCGTTCTTGACGCCTATCTGGCGTCTTGTTTTATCGTGATGTATATCATGTTGAAAATGTGTAAACATTGTAGAAGTTGTTGGTTCCTTACCATGTTTTTTGTACATTCCATTCAGAACAAGTTACTAGGCAAAATCAGAAACTTTGTATTGACCAATCAAATTACTCG